CCCCCCTTCCAATTTTCCTGGGACAGCGTGCGGATTCCGGAAGAACACCAGAACGATTTCGTTAGTCGCCACGAACAGTCCATTTTAAGTACATATCCTAATAAATATATTAATAATTAATAATTACAAAGTGTTAATTCACTTGCACCCACATCATCCTAAATTGGTGACCCCGATTATAAAACTGGATTTCGTGAGGTGAAGTATTGTGAATTTTGTGATTATTGGTGTATAGTGTTGACGCAAAAATGTCTTTACCGGGACAGTCTGGACAAAGTGATGAAACCGGAAGGGGAAACTCTAGTGTAGTTGCAACCACTGTTTTGCGGCTTCCTGTATTTTGGCCAAAAAAGGTGGCTTTGTGGTTTAAGCAGGTAGGGGCCCAGTTTCTTATCGGTCGAATTACCAAGGACGAGACGAAATTTGGTTACGTTGTGGCACAGCTAGATGGAAAGTATGCCGAGGAAGTTGAAGATGTGATTTGCAACCCCCCGGACGAAAATAAATATGACACGCTTAAGCAGGAATTAATTAAGTGATTATCCGACTCTGATGGCACGCGTGTTCGGAAGTTACTCGAATCCGAAGAGATTGGAGATCATACGCCGACGCAGTTTTGGCGTCACTTAAAGCAGTTGGCTGGTTCGGCAGTTAACGACGATTTTTTAACGGAAATTTGGAAAAATCGTCTGCCGGTGAAAACACAATTGGTATTAGCTGCAACTTCCGATAAAGATGGTGTCAAGCTCGCTGAAATAGCGGACAGAGTGCATGACATTCCACCTGAAAAGGGGAGAATAGCTGCGGTGGCAGGTACTTCCGAAATAGATCGTTTAAGTGAGGAGTTAAAGCAAATAAAAACTCAGCTTAACGCAGTCTTGCGACGGTCACGATTTCCCCGAAGAAATTTTCGATCGCCCGCGCGTAGTTTGTCGCGTGAAGCTAGCAAGGATCGGCAGCAGGTACGCGGTGCGAAATCCCCGAATTGGCTGTGCTGGCATCATTACAGATGGGGTGAAAAGGCAACATCGTGTAAGCAACCGTGCGCGTGGAAGTCGGGAAACGAGGAAGACCGTCGTCCGTAAATGCGGCGATTCTCGACGGTAATAAATCTGGCCGCATTATCGTAACAGACAAATTCACAAAAGTTCGGTTTCTCGTCGATACAGGTGCGGATGTGTGTGTTTTTCCGCGATCGCGAACGAGTGGTTATTCACAGAAAAGTGAATATGAACTGTATGCGGCAAATGGTACGCGCATTGCCACTTATGGAACGATTACTGTGAATTTGAATCTGTCTCTACGTCGTGATTTTGTGTGGAGTTTTATTATAGCCGATGTAGAGGGACCGATAATCGGGATGGATTTTCTTGCCCATTACAACTTGTTGGTGGATTCGCGCAATAGACGCTTGGTCGATGGAACAACGAATTTGTTTTCCATCGGTCGTTTTGCTAGTGTAAGTTATCCGACAATAAAAACAGTTGTGAGTGGTTCGAAGTATCATCGCCTTCTTGCGGAGTATCCAGACCTTACCCAACCTGCAGTGTTTCGAAGAGATACCGTTAAACATAGCACGGTCCATCATATTGAAACGACACCGGGACCACCTGTGCATTGTAAACCCAGGCGCCTCGCTCCGGATCGGCTGAAGTTGGCCAAAGCGGAAATAGGCTTGATGTTGCAGCAGGGAATCATCCGTCCTTCGAAGAGTCCGTGGGCTTCGCCGCTACACTTGGTGCCGAAAAAGGATGGAGGTATTCGACCGTGTGGCGATTACCGTGCGCTTAACCGTCGCACAGTTCCAGACAGGTATACGCCGCCCCATATAGAAGATTTTTCGCATTTCTTGCACGGGAAACGAATATTTTCTAAGATAGACCTTGTACGCGCTTACAATCAGATTCCGGTTGCGCCGGCTGATATTGAGAAGACCGCGATAACGACGCCATTCGGCCTTTTTGAATTTTTGTTCACGCCCTTTGGTTTGCGTAATGCTGGGCAGACATGTCAGCGTTTTGTAGACGAAATTACCCAAGGTCTTGATTTTGTATTTGCTTATATTGACGACTTTTTCATTGCGTCTAGAGATGAGGCTGAACATTTTGAGCATTTGAAAATGTTGTTTCAAAGGTTGAATCAGTATGGTATCGTTATAAATCCGGCTAAGTGCGAATTCGGCGTTGAGGAAATTTCTTTTCTCGGATATAGGGTTAATAGCGAGGGTATAAAACCAATGTGCGAGCGCGTTGATGCGATTTTGAAGTTTCCAAAGCCTGAGAATATTAAAGTACTTAGGAGATTTTTAGGGATGGTGAATTTTTATCGTAGATTCATCCCTGGCGCTGCTTCATTGATGAAACCCATGAATGATTTGTTGAAGGGTGTCCGATCGGGAAATTCACCGGTTAATTGGTCTGAGTCGGCGAGTAAAGCTTTCCTTGATATTAAAGATAGTTTAGCGAAGGCCGCTATGCTTGCTCACCCCGTTCCGAATGCTCCTATTAGTATCGTAGTCGATGCGTCGGATTACGCAGTCGGTGCGGTTTTGCAGCAGTTCGTTGATGGGGCTTGGCAGCCACTCGCATTTTTGACAAAGGCCCTCTCCGCGGCACAATGTAAATATAGTGCCTATGATCGAGAATTGTTAGCGGCATATACAGCGGTAAAGCGTTTCCGGCATTTCGTAGAAAGTCGGAATTTTGTTATATATACTGATCATAAACCATTGACCTTTGCATTTAATCAGAATTTGGATAAGTGTTCTCCGCGTGAATTCCGGTATTTGGATTTTATAGGTCAGTTTACGACGAATATTCGTCATATTAAAGGTATCGATAATGCTGTTGCTGATGCTTTGTCGCGTGTTGAAGCAGTACACACTCTCGATCATAGTGCATTGGAACAGGCTCAGGCAAATGATACGGAATTGAAGGAAATTTTGGAATCCGACTCTAGCGTTCTTCGGTTAAAGAAAATTTATTTTCCGGGATTCGATGTTGATTTATTTTGTGATACATCGAATGAAATTGTAAGGCCTTTTGTTCCGTTACCGTTGAGACGTATGGTTTTTGACTCGTCGCATGGACTTTCTCATCCTGGGGTTCGTGCAACGCAAAAGTTAATTACTAGGCGTTTTGTATGGCCTTCAGTAAATAAAGATTGCCGGGATTGGGCACGGCATTGTATTTCATGCCAGCGATCGAAGGTCACGAGACACGTGGTAACACCCGTCGGTAATTTTGACAATTCCAGTGAGAGGTTTGAGCACGTACACATTGATATAGTCGGGCCATTACCGGTATCTCAAGGTTTTAGGTATCTTTTAACGTGTATCGATAGGTTCTCTCGCTGGCCGGAAGCTATCCCTATTTCGGAGATCGACGCGGAAACAGTGGCGAATGCGTTTATTAGTTCGTGGATTGCGCGTTTTGGTGTACCGTTGAGAATCACCACAGATCGAGGGCGTCAATTTGACTCGCATCTGTTTAACGAATTATCGCGATTGATTGGTGCGTCTCATTTACGAACGACTTCCTATCATCCTCAAGCAAATGGGATGGTGGAGAGGTTACATCGTCAGATTAAAGCAGCGATAAAATGTCATGAGACAAATAATTGGGTTGAAGTGTTACCAATTGTTTTACTTGGCATTCGCACAGCCTACAAAGAGGATTTAAAAACCACATCGGCGGAGTTGGTTTATGGCACGGGCGTACGATTACCGGGCGAATTTTTTGTAGCGAGCGGAAAAGATATACAAACAAATTATGCTGATCAGCTGCGGAGACGGTTTGAGAATTTAAAGCCATCACCCGCTACGCGTCATGGGACGAACAAAACGTTCATGTTCAAGGAGCTGTCGACTTGCCCTTTTGTATTTTTACGACACGACGCGGTCAAGGGTCCGTTGCATCCGCCGTACGACGGGCCGTTTAGGGTAATAAAACGTGGGGACAAGACGTTTGTAATCGAGGTAAAGGGAAAGCAGTCTACTGTCTCGATTGACAGATTGAAGCCTGCGTTTGTTTTGAACGACGATATTTGCGAAGGTAATCCTCAGGTAATCGAAAGTGAAATCGTGGTAGAAACACCAATGTTGGCAGTATTCCGGTTAATAGTAGTAGTTGTTCTATGCGGATTCTAAATCACTGGCGTCAGCATTTTTTTTGCTGACTCAGCAGTAATTTGACACCATCAGCAGAAATATGATACCCCCCTCCCCGCCTCCTCTCCCCACCCCATGACCTTGAACTGAAATTTGACACCACCGTCAGCAGAAATATGATACGTCTTCGACAACCCCCACCCCATAACCACCCCTCCCCACCCCCCTCTCCCCACCCCATAACCTTGAACTGAAATTTGACACCACCGTCAGCAGAAATATGATACGTCCTCGACAACCCCCACCCTATAACCACCCCTCCCCCCACCCGCACCCACCCCATGACCTTGAACTGAAATTTGACACCACCGTCAGCAGAAATATGATACGTCCTCGACAACCCCCACCCCATAACCACCCCTCCCCCCACCCGCAGCAACCCCATGACCTTGAACTAAGATTAGACGCCACCGTCAGCAGAAATATGATACGTCCTGACCTTGAACTGAAATTTGACACCACCGTCAGCAGAAATATGATACATCCTCGACAACCCCCACCCCATAACCACCCCTCCCCCCACCCGCACCAACCCCATGACCTTGAACTAAGATTAGACGCCACCGTCAGCAGAAATATGATACGTCCTGACCTTGAACTGAAATTTGACACCCCATGACAACCCCCACCCCCACCCCATGACCTTGAACTGAAATTTTACACCACCGTCGGCAGAAATATAACACCCTACCCCCACCCTCCGTGACCTTGAACTGTTTGTTCTTATCGGAAGACCACTTTTTCTACGTCTTGGAAATGATTTTTTCTACGTCTTGGAAATGAGTTTTTTGTTGACGCAGCAAATCTGACACTGCAATTCGTGACTATAGAAGGTAGGGGGTTTGCTAAAGTTTCAAGCACACGCAAAACCAAATTGACCATCACCGCAAGCGCATCGTTCGCGAGATTGTATTGTGAAAAGTGAAATATGTATTCTCAAAGTTTCAAAGAGTTTTTTTGCCAAAGGAAGCGCCCCGCAAGTTCTACTCAAGAAGAAGAGGCACGCAAAAAAATGACAAAACATCAGAATGACGTGAAGTAAGTGTTCGAAACACATTTCATTTAACGCTGTCGGTATTTGTTCTAATAACATACTTAAACGGTATTTATTTGTTCTAGAATCGCAACACAATTATCATGCAGAATTTTGGGCCGAAAATATCCATTGACGGATTCCTGTACAAAGTATTTGGAAATCGGCATAAATATACTTGGCGACAATTTCTACCCGCAACTCGTATTATCAGACAGCCGAAACAACCGCCTGGAGCTGAGCATAGTCACATGGTCGCTGATAGTAGCCGAAGCAGACAACGTATGCAGCTTCTTTGACGATTCAAAAGATACACGCGACAGTATTAATTTTAATAATATAAGTGTTGAATTTGGAGTGCTATATGGTGAAAAAGTAATTAAATTGATTAGCAATGATATGTGTATGTGCATGATGAAAAAAACATTTGAGAAAATGGTAATTTTAAATGATTGTATAGTTGAAATGCATAATGCATTATATGATAATCTGTATTCGGTGGAACAAAAATTTAAAGAGTTTGTTGCATTAGTTCGGGGATACGGGGATGTAAAAGTGCCTGCAGAGGTTGTGCGGCATATCAAAGAAACTGATATTTATGATCCAAATTCAATTATTGATTGCGAATTAGTAGCTTTAGGTATTCAGGCAACAATAACAGCCGCATCAGCAGCATCTTAACAGAGAAAAAAGAATTATGTTACAAATTATGTTAGAAATTATACTTTAATAAATCATAATGTATTGCATCATTTACAACTTCTCTCTCTACCTATATAAACCCAAACATCCCAGGAAAAAATTTCACTTCCTATACGATAGTCGTACGATGTGCATATGCACATTTGATCTTCGAATTAGCACAAAAAGAATTCGCACCAGATTGGAAAACACTTTTGTCTGCGCGCGTTGCTGGAATATTGTTAGCCAAAGAGTTAGCCAAAGAAGAAAGTAATGGCACCGCGGAAAAGTAACAAGAAGAAGAAGACGAAATTGCGCAAACTTCCAGTTGCAAAACGTGGGGGATTTCTTCCAGCACTTGTACCTATTTTTGCAGGCCTTTCAGCTTTGGGCACGGTGGCCGGCGGTGCAGCAGGTATCGCCAAGGCAGTCAACGATGCATCTGCAGCACGGAAAACACTGGAGGAAGTGAAACGGCACAATCGTGTTATGGAAGGACATGGACTTTACCTTGCACCATATAAACGGGGAAAAGGAATTAAAGAAAAAAAAAAGAAGAAGCGCTTCGGCAAACTGTAACGCTTCCACAGGACGCAATGACAAATGTACAATTATATAACTTTGCACGAAAGTTGAACTTTCCATATTTTCGAGGCGTTTTCATGCGTACAAATTTGCCCTCTAAATCGTTCTTAAACGAATGCGGTATCGTGAATTTAGATAAATCGGAAGGTCCTGGTACACACTGGGTAGCTTACGTAAAGCGAGGTAATTGTGTTAAATATTTCGACTCTTTTGGAAATCTGAGGCCACCGACAGAGTTAATAAACTACTTCGGAAACCATGCAACGATTTTATACAATCACGCGCAGTATCAAAAATTCAATACGAGTGTATGCGGACAACTCTGCTTGCATTTTTTAGCCGGAAATGTATAAAATAGTTTCGATGCACATAGTCTTCACAGTTGCAAAGATGTCGTTGACGTTTACGTTAAGCGGAAAAAATTCTGTGCTTAGCACTGATTACTTTCCACCTATAGACTTGAAGGATGATAATTACGAACTCGGACTCGTTGATTTTCAAGCTTTCAACACAATACCGAACGTTGACTTTACAAACAATAAATTTTACTTTGATGCCGATGGTGAGATCACGATACCGGATGGTTCGTACGAACTCGAAGCGCTAAATAAATACATGCAAGAGAAAATAATGGACAAGACAAAAATCATTTTATTTCGTACAAATAACAGCACTTTGAAAAGTGAAATATATAGTGATTATACAATTGATTTTACCAAACCAAATAATATTGGATCGCTTCTCGGGTTTTCTACATATCGCATATTACCGCCGGGGCAATGGCACGAGTCGGATATACCGGTAAATATTATGAAAGTAAATGTGCTGAGGATCGAATGTAATATTACAACTGGTGCATATAGCAACGGTCAATGTGTTCATACCATTCATGAGTTTTCACCGCGCGTGCCGCCAGGATATAAAATTTCGGAAAGTCCTACGAACGTCATTTATCTTCCAGTTATCGTGAGAGCCATTGATCACCTCAGTATACGCATTACCGATCAAAACAATAATCTGATAAATTTCCGTGGAGAAGAAGTGACAGTGAGGCTTCACATTAGGCGGTGTAAAAAATAACATGAATATAAACATAATCGATGGCCTGTTGAACGGCTCGAACGGCTCGAATGGCCCGCGAACGGCTCGAACGGCCCGCGAACGGCTCGTTGAACGGCTCAAACGGCTTGTCGTTGCACGGCTCGAACGGCTTGAACGGCCCGCTGAACGGCTCGAACGGCTTTCCGTTGAACGGCTCGCTGAACGGCTCGAACGGCCCGCTGAACGGCTCGAACGGCTTTCCGTTGAACGGCTCGAACGGCTCGAACGGCCCGTTGAACGGCTCGAACGGCTCGCTGAACGGCTCGAACGGCTTTCCGTTGAACGGCTCGAACGGCTCGAACGGCCCGCTGAACGGCTCGAACGGCTTTCCGTTGAACGGCTCGAACGGCTCGAACGGCCCGCTGAACGGCTCGAACGGCTCGTTGAACGGCTCGAACGGCTCACTGAACGGCTCGAACGGCCCACTGAACGGCTCGAACGGTCCGCTGAACGGCTCGAACGGCTCGAATGGCATGCTGAACATTTTACGACAGCCGCAGTAAGGATAATGATGTAAAAACGATGACAATTATACAATCATTCAGTAGAGGAAATATATCCAAATCGGACACACCGCAAGAGCACATCGTTGAACGCTCCGACGACGCGGTCGTTTAATATACGTTAAATATCCATTCATTTAATAGCCTTTCAAGAGAACAAGCAGCACTTATGCCAAACATTACTAGAAATAATGCTGTTGTACACAGATGCTAAAACTCAACCGATCAACAATCCGCCGAATGCATTATTGGGCGCCCCGTTGAACGAGTTGCTAAAAGGATCGTTAGAAAATGGATGGAACCAGAACTTCAATCACAAACGCACAAACTGTACTTGCTGCAGCAATTGCCACGGTTACAGGAATGATAATCATGTATTAAACGGTGATGACTCTTTACAATCATTTAGTAAGGACAATATCTCCAAACTGAACACATCGCAAGATTTGAGCGACAAAAACGCGCAATTTCTGCAATCGTTGGGTTTTGTGATTAAGAAACGAAAATGATGGATCCATTGAACATTGCTAGTTTACCAATTTCTGATAATCGAATTACAAAGATCGAATTACATAGTTACAGCCCATACGCCAACACAACGTTCGGAAACAATGATGAAATACGAATTCCCATTCAACAACAAGATTTGTACACGTTTCCTAGTGAGAGTTACCTTTACGTCGAAGGAAAACTCATTCTCAACGATGACAATGTTGCAGGAACTTCAGTTGGACTAGAAATGAATTGCGCCGCATTTATGTTTGATGAAATTCGATATGAATTAAACGGCGTGGAGATTGATCGTTGTAAAAACGTTGAAATAACAACTATGATAAAAAATGGAGTATCGTTGACAACGACAAGATCGAAAATGCTTGAAAACGCTGGCTGGATAGACATACCCAATGCAGGAGGCTACTTTGACTTTTGTGTTCCTCTAAATATGCTGCTCGGTTTCTGCGAAGATTACAAACGAATAGTGCTTAATGCGCATCATGAATTGATTCTGATTCGGTCGCGAGACGACAAAAACGCTATTTTTGGAACAGATGGTGCAAAATACACGCTGCAACTATACAAAGTACAGTGGAGGATGCCACATGTCACGCTCGAAGAAAGGCACAAACTTTCATTGTTGCGCATCCTTGAAAACGGTCAAACGATAATTATGAGTTACCGTTCCTGGGACTTATACGAGTATCCAATGTTACAAGCAACCACTAAACATACATGGAGCATTAAAGCAGCTACGCAATTAGAAAAACCACGATATGTAATATTTGCATTACAAACGGATAAAAAAAATAGGCTCAATAGACATATCACCAAATTTGATGACTGCAAACTCACCAATTTTCGATTGTATTTAAATTCGGATTCATATCCGTATGACAATTTGAATCTTGACTTTAATAAAAATAGATACTCTGTCCTTTACGACATGTATGCAAAATTCAGAAAGTCATATTACGGAGCAATGTGCAGTAATGGTGATGACGGAGCTCTATACGATAAAATACTCTTTTTTGGCTACGGCCCATTCGTTGTCATTGATTGCTCGCATCAGAACGAATCGATAAAAAGCGCTACAATCGATGTAAGAATCGATTTTGAGTGTAGTGAAAACGTTCCTGAAAATACTAGCGCTTACTGTTTGATCATTCACGATCGTATCGTGCAGTACAATCCACTGACCAATGTAGTGCGCAAACTCTCTTAAGTGGAAGAGGGTTTATATGAGATTATTCCACAGCAAAACCAGTCATTTTTCGCTACAAATTCAACTAATCAAAATGAACGTACCAACATTCGTGGACATTCAAGGCTTCAAAAGCGATACGAACGAGTTATTCGTAAAGGAACTTGCAATCTTCCAGAATGGGAATCGTGTACAATGTTTCATCTTTGCGCCTCCATTTGCTAAGAGAAAATTGTCGAAAGCAGAATTAAGACAAATAAAATGGTTGACGCAAAATCATCATGGTTTTGAGTGGGACGATGGTACCGTGCCGTATTCACGCCTTCAAGAGTGTGCCGCTTCGTGTTTGAAAGATAGTATTCATGGATCTGTATACGTCAAGAGCATTGAGAAAGAAAAATGGCTGAAGAAACTTTATCCTTCAGTCAGTCCAATCAATATAGAGGTTTTGAACAAAGATGACGATCTACCGAATTTGCCAACCAAGAGCCGGCATATTCAGGATGGATGGATGGATAAACATATGGCATGCATCGCGCACAACGGAGCATGTGCTATGAGAAACGTATCGATATTAAAAGAATGGTGGTTAAAAAAAAGGAAGGAGGAAGATGAAGAGCTGTGTATGGAGCATTATAACCGGCCGGGGGATGACACGCACATAGATGGACCTCCACCGAAAAAGAAAAATTGTTACATTTGTCTTAAAACACGAAACATTTAATATCATTTATTAATTTTGTTCATTACTGTAAAATAATAAAATCTATTTAGTAAAAATATACTTTATGCGTCTTAATGTTGTTTTACCTAGAACGATTGTATGTGTAACGTTTATGTTTCATATTCCAATGTAGGAGATACAAAGGAATGTTCTTCTATTTCAAAGACACGAGGGAGTAGGGCGAAATCTATGTTTACATGCAGACACGTGTCGATGTGCAATCTGGCACAGATAGAGAGAGCATCGCCGAGACAGACTTTTGGTCACGTTGTTGCTTGGATGCGTATTTGATGGCTCGGTCACGAATTGCATTCCGCGTGCCCGCCACCACCGCGTGCCCGCCAACGCCGCGCGCCGCCGCCGCCGCCGCCGCCCCGCCGCCGCGGACAAAAAGGGTTAATCGCGGTTAAAGCGCGTTATCGCCGCGGAGAAAAAGGGTTAATCGCGATTAAAGCTCGTCTATGGCCGCGGCTAAAGCGCGTTCACGACGCGGGCAAGCAGCTTTTCCACAACCTATAAAGAGGCTGAATCATTAAATATATGGTTATTATATAGACGATATGCGTTTCGCAAAGCAGCCCCTGTCTATCATTATTCTCGATGTAGACGAGAGGACAACACGCATGGACGATCGTCGGCAACGACACGGACCCCTCTTGCCGAATACGATACGTGGTATAATTTGCGGTCCATCGAACTGCGGTAAAATGAACGTCGTAATCAGTCTGATCGAGAGCCCGAACGGTGTAAGATTCAATAACGTATATGTATACTCAAAATCATTGCAACAACCAAAGTACAAATATCTTGAACGAATTTTGACAAACGTTCCTGAAATCGGATACTTTTCATTTTCAAATAATACCGAAGTCGTGCCACCGAACGAGGCGCTGCCCGATTCGGTGTTTATATTCGATGACGTTGCATGCGACAAGCAAGACGTGATAAGAGAATATTTCGCTATGGGCAGGCACTCGCGCGTGGACTGTTTTTATCTCTGTCAGACTTACGCGAGAATACCGAAACACCTAATTCGCGACAATGCCAACCTTTTGATCGTGTTCAAACAAGATGGCACGAATCTACGCCACATTTATAATGATCATGTAAATACAGATATGTCGTACGAAAATTTTTGTAAATTGTGCACACAGTGTTGGGAACAGAAGTATGGTTTCGTAATAATCGACAAGGATAGCTCGATGGAACGTGGTCGTTACAGAAAAGGATTTAACGAATTTGCCGTTTTCTGAAACATTTAGTCCTTCGATAGAACGCTTAGCGAGTAGACGTCTTCTCTTTGCAATGGATAATAGTAATAATAAAGAATCGAGTAAAGTTGCGAATGCTATAGCTAAAACAAGTGATGCTATACGCAAAAAACGCGGAGCTCTCAAATCGGAGAGCATCGACGAAGAGAGAGTCATCGAAAAACGATTGAAACCCGTGGTAGAACCGCTGGAACGAATTATCGAGAATATGTCCGCGGAATTGCCACATTCAGACACGATCGATATAAAATCCGAGTCGACATTCCCAACTTTGAATATTAAAGAACCACAAAAATTGACGTCAACTCCTTTTCTTAACCCTCAAAGCACACAAACTGCAAGAGCACGCATTTATTCCGAACCTGGCACATCTTCGAGTGAACGGTCGGTGGATGTGACGAAAGATCGCCCCGATTTTCATCGTGAAGAATCGATACATGCCGTTGATACGTACGGCGACAGCGACGAGAATCTTAATGTTTCTATGCAGCGAATTTTGGACAAGCCTAGTGAAAAACGTCGCCAGTTCACGCCAGAAGACATCGAGATGCAGAACCGATCGACCGCCACCCCAAACAACGTTGCCCTCAGATCTACAGATAGCAGAGCTACCAGAAGCACAACAAAACGGAACAACGAACCCCGGCTTCAAAACCAAAACAATCCTGTACTACTACTAAAACTAAAGAACGGGACCAGAAGGCTTAAGAAAAAAATAAAAATAAAAATAAAAACACGCACCACATAGAAGAAGAAAATATATGTTCAAAAGTAGGCGTTCGAGTTTGGGATTGTGCGAGACCGGTTCGGTTGTAGGATCAGCAGTGAGACGGGAAGTAACGAGTTTGCACAGTTTGTTGTTAACAAGCACAATGTATTTACACAAATATTTACACTATGTACAATTGTTGTTCGTTGAACAATGTAAGAAATGCAAATGTTAGTGCGTTGCACAATTTCACCCGCGTCGCGGCGAAATTTGAGACCGAGTTCGAGATGTTTGAAACCACGTGTTGGATTAACGCGTGGCACCACGTAATTATATTAATCACGTGGATTTTGGCGAGCTGATGAGCTCACACACTCGCAAAAGCCGTTGGCACTTTTACACGCGTTGAGAGAAGTGTATTTTTGCGAGATTGAGCGGAATTATTAGAACTATGCGAAAACTGAGATTGCACGTGTGAAGGCTACGTAAACCAGAGCGATAATGGCCGATCAACCGGCTTCGTCGCAACAAGAACCGTTGGCTTCTTCTTGCTGACGTAACGCTCCCTGATTGGTCGGCGTGACCGGCATCCAAGGTGGCTGCCGGTCGCGCTGCTAAGTGCTGCCGCGGTCCGCGTGCCGGCGGTAGAAATTACATTTTCGAACATTCCGCCCACCATCAGCAGCTCGTAGAAGATGGTGATGAATCCTGATCCGCTACTGGTAGTAGAGCCAACCTTGCAATTGGCCGAGTTAGAGTTGAGGTGGCCGTCTTGATCGTGACGACCCTCGTCAGTCCATCTGGTCCAGGGTGAACTGCGAGCACTCGAGCAAGAGGCCACTTGCATGGTGGGAAGCGCTCGTCTGTAAGCAGCACCAGAGATCCAACGTGGATGTTGTTGGAAGGGTGATGCCACTTAGAGATTGATTGCATCCGTTGGAGATGTTGAGTTGACCAGCGCTTCCAGAATTGTTGTAATTTTTGTTGTATGAGATGCCACCTGGCTCTCGGTGAGATGTTGGCCTGTTCAACAGATGGCTCAGGCAGCGTTGAGATTGCTCTTCCGATTAGGAAATGAGCTGGTGTTAGCACTGAGAGATCGTCAGGGTCGTCCGTGAGAGGCTCCAGTGGTCGTGAATTAAGCGTTGCTTCAATCTGATTTAGAAGAGTATAGTATTCTTCAAAGGTGAGTAAAGTGTCACTCACCGTGCGTCTGAGATGGTATTTGACAGACTTGACCACTGCCTCCCACTTTCCTCCCATGTGCGGTGCAGCAGGTGGATTGAAACTCCAAGTTGTATGGTCGTCGACGAACAGCTTGGCCAATCGTTGATTGTCTTGAGTGCCCTCGACGAACATTGATTTCAATGCTGAATCTGCTCCGATGAAGTTTGTTCCGCAGTCGGAGTAGATTGTATGTGGAATGCCTCTTCTTGCAGCGAACCGTCGGTACGTGGCAACGAATCCATCCGTTGAATAGTCGGTAACCATTTCCAGATGAACAGCAGACGTTGTCATGCAAACGAAAACACAGATCCAGCCCTTTTGTGTTTTCGCACCTCGCCCCTTCCACGTCTTGAGTGCGATGGGACCGGCGTAGTCTACGCCGGTGTGTGAGAATGGGTGTGAGGGTGTAACCCGAGAGAGAGGTAGTTGGCCCATCAGTTGATGGGCACGGATCCCCCTCTGCCGAGCACACCCAACACACCGCAGAATGTGAGATTTGACTGGAGCTCGTCCACCGATGATCCAGTAAGTCTGTCTGATGTGAGCGAGTGTGAGTTGTGTCCCTCCATGAAGCGTTGCTTTGTGGGAGTGATCTACAATCAATTCGGACAGACGTGAGTGACGTGGAAGGATTGCAGGGTGTTTACCTTCATAGGTTAACTGAGCGTTGCTGAGTCTTCCTCCAACTCGAATAACCCCTTGATCGTCGATGAAGGCCGTGAGTCGATTGAAGGCGTGGGACGATGGTAACGTTTGGTTGTTGACCATCATCTTGAGCTCGTGTGAGAAGTATGCTGATTGTGTGGCCTTGATCCAGAAGATTTTGGCCCTTTCCAAATCAGCTGGTGTGTTCGAGAGCCTCGTTGAAGCAGTTGTCCTTCTCAGTTTGGAGATGAACCTGTAACAAACTGAGGTAACATGAAAAAGTTTTTGCAAAGATGAATATTTGTGAATCAAGTCCCAGTGATAATCGATTTTTTGGCACGTTAACACGTGAGAGATTCCTGGGCGACACTCCTGCAGGCAAGTGTCGTCAGATGCGTTGCGTTGTACAGGCCATGATTCTTGAGATTGTAAAAGCCACGGTGGTCCCCTCCACCATAGCTCGTGTTGTTCAAGCTGAGTTGTAGTCAATCCTCTTGAAGCGCAATCAGCAGGATTTGATGTGCCAGGAACGTGCATCCAAGTTGCAGTTTGCGTTAGTTCTTGAATTTGTGTTACACGATTCTTGACGTAATCTTTCCATCGTGATGCGTGAGATTTGATCCATGTAAGTGTTACTTGAGAATCCGTCCACAGGTGAATTGTAGCAATGTTGAGTTTGAGATTAGCTTGAACGTATTTCAGTAATTTTGCAAGTATCAGCGCAGCTGTGAGCTCGAGTCGGGGAATTGTAAGTTTTTTGAGAGGTGCGAACTTTGTCTTGGAGCACACCAGTGACGTCACCTTGAGATCTGTGGACGGCGAAAAAACAGTAATGTAAATTACTGCTGCCATGGCGAGTTGTGAAGCGTCAGAGAAGCCGTGTAATTCCACTGTAGAATTGTTGTAGGTGTTGAACCACCTTGGTATTGAGAGTCTGGCCAGACTTGTGAGATCTTCTCTGATCGCAATCCATCGTATAGTAACATGGGATGGCAGTGGATCATCCCATTTGAGATTGAGAAGCCATAATTCTTGCAGGAGTACCTTCGCTCGAATAATGACTGGTGACAAAAAGCCAAGCGGATCAAATATCTGTGCTACTTCAGATAATACAAGGCGTTTTGTAAAATTGAGATTGTGGTGAGATTTAGTAGTGAATGTGAAACTATCGTTGACAGTGTTCCATCGCAATCCGAGTATTTTGGTATTGCAGTCGTCTAGTGAGATTGATGTACCTTGAGAATTATTGCAAGGCACGATGGTTTCAAGCAGAGAGGCTTCGTTTGAGTGCCACTTTGCAAGAGGGAAACCGCCCGCGTTGCACAAGTCAGTTAATTGTGAAGCAATTTCAATTAACGAATCAAGAGAATCTGCACCACCAAATATGTCGTCGACATACCTTGCATATTTGATTGATGGTACTGCCAGTGGGTAGCGTTGACCTTCGTCCTCTGCAAGTTGCAACAGGGCTCTGACAGCTAGAAATGGTGCAGCTTTGGTACCGTAGGTGACTGTTGTCAGTGTGTATGGGACTTCATTTGATTCCTCATCTATCCAGAGTATCCGTTGGAGATTCCAATCGTCTTCATGTACTCGTACTTGACGATACATCTTTGTGATGTCCGTGGCGAATATGCATTTGTGATGGCGAATCCACAGCAAAACGTCGTTGATGTTGAGCAGGAGATTCGCACCAGTGTGCATGATGTCGTTGACAGAAAGTCCAGTTGTTGTTGGACTTGAGCCACTGAAGACGACCCGCAGCTTTGTTGTTTCACTGTCAGGCTTGAAAACTCCGTGATGTGGAAGATAGTAAATTGAAGAGTCGTTGGGCGAGATTGAAGAAGCCTTCTTCATGTGACCGAGGTCCTCGTACTCCATCATGAATCGCTGATATTGCTCACGGTACTCAGGATTTCGAGTGAGCTTGCTGAGCGTGCGTCGCAGGCAGGAGCGAGCTGTGCTGTAAGAGGTACCCAAGACTTTAGTATTTGTTTTGAGAGGAATACGCACCACGTATCGCCCAGTAGAATCACGGCTGTGCGTTGCACGAAAGTGATCTTCACACTCTTGTTCGTCCGGTGTGAGTTGAGATGTGTTTTCCGTTGGAAGCTCCTCTTGAATCCAGAATTTCGTCAGCAGTTCTCTCAGAGCAGCGTCGCTGTCTTGAGAGATTGATGCATTAAATGATGAATAAGCACGAGCTTGACGCCTCCTTGCTGGTCCAATAACGAGCCATCCGAATATTGAGAGCTGGGCGACTGGCATTGATGGCGAACCTTTAATTACATTTGATTTTATAATTCGTCCATAATTGTCGGCACCGATGATGACGTCGATGGGTCGTGGTTTGTAAAACTCAGGATCTGCCAACTTGAGACGATTGAGATGTGGCCAGTCTTGGTGGGGTGCCTCAGAAGACGGCAAAATTGTGGTTAGAGTGCGCAACACATGAGTTTGTATTGAGATCGATGAGGTATTGTAAAGAGATTGTAAATGTAGTGATACAATACCTCGAGTTTGTGTTGATTTCTTGCCACCAATGCCAGTGATGGAGATTGAAGATTGAGTGCGTTGAAGTCCTAGCTGTTCGACGAGATCTTCAGAAACGAAACTGAGCTCCGATCCGGAGTCGACGAGCAGCCTTGCGTTGTAGGTCGTGGATGAGGTGATGACTTGTGCATGTGCTGTTGCTAACAGCGTTAGCTCGGCTTGCGTCGCAAGCGAGCTTGATCGTTGATCGTTTGTGTTGGCGGTTGTACTGGATCGTTGACCCATTGAAATCGAGATTGAGTGCTTGACGACTGCACCTACACTTTATTGTGTTTGTGTTGAAGAGGACGACGTTGTCGGATTCTCTTGTGTTGCCGCAGGCTTGGCTGTGGTCTGTGGCTGCGTTGCAGCCAGGTGTAGAATTGTGTGATGAGGCCGTCCACACTGTTTGCAACGGTGTTCAGACTTGCAATTCGCAGTGGTGTGACGGCCGCAACAATTTCTGCACAGAGACAGTTTGTCCACTAGACTTCGTCTTTCTGGTACAGGCATCGACCTGAACTTTGTGCATGACACAATGAAGTGGTCGGCCTGACAACAGTCGCACGGATAGGCGTGTGCGGCTGCTCTTGTGATGGTGTTAGCCTGTGACGTTGTCAAGGCAGGTCGTTGACCTGTTGGTTTCGCCTTTGCCTGAGGTTGAGCAGGCTGATTTTTGGCCGTTGGCGTTTCAACCCTTTCTAGAGCCCGTGCCTTGGTCGTCAGGAACGCCTCCAGTTGCTCTGGCTTCGGAAATTCTTCAGAGTTTCCTAGGCTGGTTTCCCAAGCCTCTCGCGTAGTCTTGTCAAGACTACGAGAGATGTGATGGATGAGTGTGCAATTCCACAACTCGTCGGTTGAAGCAAGAGCGCGCAACGAGGTGTTGAAATCGCGCAAATTGGCCGCCACGTTGTGGAGAACCATTGCGCTCTTCTGTTGCACTGGTGGTGTCGCACAGAGCTTGTCAAGCAGAGATTGTACGATGATTCTCTTGTTCTCAAAGCGTTGCTTTAAATTCTTCCAAGCAATTGGGAAGGATTCTCCTATCGCCGGCAGGTTGGAGATGGCGCGTAGCGACTCCCCTTGGAGGCTTGACCTCAAGTAATGCAGCCTCTCCACATCAGATAATCGGTGATTATCGATGATTATTGATTTGAAAAGCTCGCAAAACGCAGGCCACGCTTCATAGCGACCCGCGAAAGTGGGAAGCGTCAATTCAGGGAGTTTCGACGGCCTTTGTCGTGATGGTGATGCTGCACGCGCTGCGTGCAGCCTTGCGAATGCGGCCCGAAACTTGCACAGACGTCGTCTGATTTCGATGACCACGCTCATCTCGAGGTCGTAGTAATTGTCGCTGACATATGGATGGGAATTCTGACCCGAAGGCCAGGTAACTTCAAGGTAGGAATGCTCCTTTTGGAACGCCTTGTGTATTTCATCGACCTGCTTGTCGATGAAGTCGATCTCGTCGAGAGAAGTTTCATCCATCATTTCCGGCATCTTGTCCATTAATTTGCGGAGGCCTTCGACTCTACTCATTTGCGTCTTGGCCTTCATGGACAACTCCGTTGACAAGCCGGCAGGAGATGAGGCGCGTGTTACGCGTTTTTCCACCGTCGGTGGAGGTGCTTCTGCCGGTAGTACCGTTGGCACTGTCAGCGTTGCTGATGTCACCGGCGTGGGTGACGTCGGTCTTGAGGCCGACTTGGCTTCCTGTGGCGTCGCCTTGGGAACTTTGTCACCTTTCTCACTCATTCTAGTCACTGAGTTCGAGATTTCACTAACAACGTTGTTGCCGAGCACAACCCGTCACTGCCGATCCGGCTCGAAGGACCAGAAAAAATGTTCAAAAGTAGGCGTTCGAGTTTGGGATTGTGCGAGACCGGTTCGGTTGTAGGATCAGCAGTGAGACGGGAAGTAACGAGTTTGCACAGTTTGTTGTTAACAAGCACAATGTATTTACACAAATATTTACACTATGTACAATTGTTGTTCGTTGAACAATGTAAGAAATGCAAATGTTAGTGCGTTGCACAATTTCACCCGCGTCGCGGCGAAATTTGAGACCGAGTTCGAGATGTTTGAAACCACGTGTTGGATTAACGCGTGGCACCACGTAATTATATTAATCACGTGGATTTTGGCGAGCTGATGAGCTCACACACTCGCAAAAGCCGTTGGCACTTTTACACGCGTTGAGAGAAGTGTATTTTTGCGAGATTGAGCGGAATTATTAGAACTATGCGAAAACTGAGATTGCACGTGTGAAGGCTACGTAAACCAGAGCGATAATGGCCGATCAACCGGCTTCGTCGCAACAAGAACCGTTGGCTTCTTCTTGCTGACGTAACGCTCCCTGATTGGTCGGCGTGACCGGCATCCAAGGTGGCTGCCGGTCGCGCTGCTAAGTGCTGCCGCGGTCCGCGTGCCGGCGGTAGAAATTACATTTTCGAACAATATATATATGATTTATTTTTTTTTTTGCACAAGTTTTTTTTTGTTCCTTAAAAGAATTTATCTTTATATTATTTATATAAAAAATTTATCCCTCCTCTCCAAATAGGGGTGCAAGGTTCAGGATGTTATCTTCATCCCACTCCCATAGTTCTTGGAGGGTCTGTCGAAAATAGGCCCGGTACCACCGGACGGCCTTCCGGTATGCAAGGTTAATATGCCCCGTGTAAACGACGTGTGTACCATCTTCACGCTGAAAAAGGGCATCACAAGAAAACGGAATAATAAATCAAAAACAAAAAAGAAAAAAGAATGATGTCAGGACTACTCACCCAAGATCTGAATACGTCTTTCTTGTATCGTGATAGATCCATATTACGCGCCAAAGTTTCTTTTAAAGTAATTGCAACACCCAACCGACCAGTTTATATACCACCAAGCCCCCACCAGGTTTGCCAGGAGCATAGCGACGATTAGTTCTACGTCGACAATTTTTCAACGTGGAGAACCGTCTTACCGACGCTGGTCTCAGATTATAACAATAGAAGGCATCGTACGATTAGAATGTGTCCCGTCGACGTAACACCGGAACACGCGGACAAACTTTTATCGTCCGTATATTCTAACATAAAGAATGCAGCTCCAGCCAAGTACAAGGGCGATGATCACGTGCGAGTTGAGAAAACATCTCCCTCCAAACTCTAAGACCTGAGATGAGTAAGAACTCCGGTCTCTCTCTCATGAAATTGCAAGGTTTGCATGAGCTCGAAACCCTACAGGCTTATAAAGATACTTGGAAATTAATAATATTTTACTCGTGGAGCAAAGAATAAATTATGTTTTTACGAATAATTATTTATTTTATAATGTCCCCAAGGCAATGTTCTTGTGGATTGTGGAATTATGAATCGTTTATCATCGTAGGGACTAAGCACCTTCTTTTCTTCACAAATAGAATATACATTGTGCAATTTTGAACGAATACATCTCTGTTCACGATGCACTTCTAAACGATCATACAAGCAACGTATATAATCATCGAAGGAAATAGTTTTCCTAACTACGTTACTTTTGACGCCCTTCACTTTTTTCGTGTTCCGTTTGCCCTCTACGCGCAAAGCATACATTTTCGACCGAAGTCCGACAAACTCAGTCATTATACACCCATTATTTTCATCCTTCATTAATCCTGGTACTTTTTTATTTACTCGTGGCATGCTGTAAACATTGTCCTCGGTATAGTCGCTCGTGTCAAACCGATGTATATCGCGTTTCATTACATCGTATATGTCATCACATTCCAGTTCGTATATAAGACTGTCTGTGTCTGTGTATAATATTTTACAAAGATGTTTAAATTTCGGCCAAACATAATCATGATGGAATTCGTACAAACGTGTTTTTGATATATCCAGAATGCACATACCAACATAAATGGGTTTTCTAAATTTAATTTCCAACTTTCGCATCTCTATTGCAACCAAATGTTCCGAAAATATTGATCTGCTATGAAAATTTGGTTTTGCTATCAGGGCCTCAGCCCCGTATCTGCCTTCCCATTTTGTAACTAATTTAACGTCTACATGATTTCTAACGTTCTCCATAGTTTTACCAAAGACTGCATTATTCATTAATTTAAATAAGTTCTTTTCAAAATCATTTTTAGCTACAGTTCTAAGTTGTGTGTTTAAATTAATGTATTCGCGAAGCCATGGAGATTGTTTAAATTCTAAAACGCGATGAATTACAGAAACTTTTAAGCCATGATTTATGCATTGTTGAAGATTGCCGTAATGGATGATGTAACGTTGCTTATCCTGAACTGTAGCGAGTAGTTTCTCATGTTTGGCATTAGGAGGCTTCTCGCGTATTGGGCAAAAAGGTAAATCTGCGTGCTTATCGTGTAATTCTAGCGGGTATTTCAAATCGACTTCCAAAATATATCCAATGTTCGAATTTTCGGATATTGCATGAATGTTAAAAGTTTTAATTTCATTATCGTCTAACCACTTAAACTCGCCGTAAGGTAGATACTGCGACATTGCCCATCCATACAAATTATTAACGTCGAAATATACTAAATATCGCGATGGTTCTTCGGAATTGTACGAATCCATGTATTTATTATTGGCCTTTGCATATCGATTAGAACATTGACTTAAACCACCGCGTATGCCGCGCTCTATGAAAAGTAGCATATCGATATCTGTCAATAATTCTAATTCGATACGCGTGTGCTTCAGCATTGCATCCCACGTAAAACCAGGTAAAGTATAGTAATATGCAGGATCCAATTTGTAACTTCTCAAACAGCTGCTACGAAAATTTTCAAAAATGTCGGCCAATAATAAAACGTCTGTTTTTAGATATAAATCGCTATATTCGCCAAGTGTTTTTATATTAAAACTGCACCAGACTTTTATCGCGTGGTCATAATCCTGCTGTGAAACGGCACAGTCGCTTAGTTGATTATAAAATTTGTCACATGTCGGCAATGTCGTCTCGTTCAGTTTCATGTAGTCGGTAACATAATCGTATGGAAAGATGCCTTTTCGTGTAAGCAAATCAAATCTTATCTCGTTCAAAAAATTAAATTGTGACCGTAAAATCGTCATATCGTCTTTCCCTAAATATGAACTCAATTTATCTAAACTTGAATTTAAAAATTTGAATGAATCTATAAATCGAAGCGAAATTTTGTAACGTTTTAAATTCGTTGAAAATGAAATATATTTTTCTTTTGTAATTGGCAAGACTGATGTCGAGCCTTCGATAATCGTTACCAATTCTTT